TCTACTGTTCTCTTTGGCCTGCCAAAAGTGTGCTTTCTCTTAAATCACAATTTTAGAAGATATAAGGAAATCCCAAGTAATTTCTTCTTTTGTTTAAACAGAGGCCAATCAGACAAGCGCTGTATACTTTCTGTATAGAAAGGGAGAACTTACACACGTTTAACTCACTCACTAAGGTCATCAGTTAAACCTTCCAGGAAATTTTGTGTTGTCCTCTATGTGTCTCTTTTCTTTCAGCTAACATTTGAAGTATTCGGTTCTTAAGTGGATTGCCTCTTCCTAATTTATCTGCATATATTTTACTGGCTACGACTAAATAAATTGAGACTGTTTGGACTGCATGAGGGGATTGCCTTTTATAACAAATATATTCTATATCTACTATTTTTCCCTTTACATTAGAACCTGTTCAAGGGGACTAGGCTATGGCTCAGTGGAAGGGGAGTTGCTGCCCATGTGTGTAACACCCCAGGTTTGTTCCCATCCTCACTTCTTCCAGTCATTTAAGAGAATCCAAGGGAAGATAGAAGTGATTTAATTTGTTTGATGTGCCCTTAGAAAAGTCTATCATCTGGTGAATGAAAAAAATCCTCCAAATTGAACACAGATCTAATTGAGTGCTTCTTAATTATTTATAGGCAGTGCACCTGGACAGGTGTTTCTCAATAAAATAGTGGTTCTCAAACTTCCTAATTCTGTCATTTTTAATACAATTCTTCATGTCGTGGTGATTCCCAAACCATAAAATTATTTTTGTTACTGCTTCATAACTGCAAATTTTCTATTGTTATGAATCATAACATAAATATCTGTGTTTTTCAATGGTCTTAGGCAAACCACCCCTGTGAAAGGATCATTCAACCTCCAAATGTTTGCCCTACAGGTTGAGAACCAATGCCTTCAGAGAAGAAGGTGTGGTTTATATACCAGCTTTATTTCAGTGACTGGAAGGTTGAGACTCAGTGGTGTTTTATTTTAATGTTTGGTAGTAGTCTTATGATTCAACAGTTATTGTATTACTGTAGGAAAGGAAAAACTCTAGTTCCATCTAAAGAGAATAGGAAACTTGTCTTCATTAGCTTTCCTGATATTTGAGGGCAATTAAAGCCTAATTTCACCCATAGGCTTCACTGCCATTAGACACTGACTCATTTTCTGTTTAAATGCTGGAATTTTGTTTGAAGGGAACTCTTCAGAAACTTTCTGATATTAGCTAGTTAATTCTTACAATAACCATTTGAGGTGGCCTGGGAGGATGCTATCATCCCTGCTTTCCAGGAAAGCACATAATGAGTCAAAGGTGAAATACATGAGATTTCCCTAATATCACACAGCTCCTGTGTGGACCAAATGGTAGATATCAAAACGAATTCTTCTGATGAGCACTTCAGTGTGTTTGCTACTCAAACACCTAATCTCTGGGAAAGGACCTTCTGAAGTCCGGTCCTTGCTCCAAAGCTGGAACTTATCCAGGTCCTGTGGTTGAGCCTCCTGCTCTTGTGTCCCATCAAAGCCTTTTAAATCGGCTTCTCTTTATTTCTATTTCTGTAGTTTATTCCCTGCAGGAATGGACTCTTCCTTCTTCCTAATTGACTTTTATACCAAAGCTTCTGTCATAATGGTATCATATGTGCCAGCCAGTGCATCCTCCCATTTTTTTCCATTTTCCATTTTCCATTTTAGTGTAGCTTGCCTAGAGGGAGAAACACATCCTGTTGTCTTGTGTTGTTTTTCTAAGGGAGGATTTGTAGGGACTCAGATAACTGCCTCCCTGGGAATCGGCTTTTTATTTTTCTCCTTATGAAACATTCTTTGGCATGGGCACACATTTCATATTTCTGCTGATCACCCTTTTCTGGTAATTAAATTGCATTGGTCCATGATAGCAGCTGCAGAGCAGTGTGGAGGTGTAAACAAAAGCACAAACTATGGCCATAGACAGATTATAAGTGTGAATCTGGAAACTGAGCTCTCTCCAGAGCAGGTGGCCTCCTCTTTCAGAAGTATAACATACTAGCAATAGCTGCTTGGTGAGGCTATTGAGATACATGATCAGTATTTTTCTTGGAAGGAATGTGGTAGCAGGAAATGCAGTCCTCTAGCTAGAATGCAGACCAAGTCCATGCAGCCTGTCTACTTGGCCTGCAGCTCTTTTCTCTTCCCTGGCCTGCTTTCAGGGCTTTCTGTCCTGGAAGGCTGACAGATGAAAGCGTATCAGAAGCTTCCTTTGCCCTCTTGCTCAGTTGCATTTGGCTAGTGAGGAGTCCTGGCAGGAGAGAAGAGGTCATGTGTTTCACTTCACCTCTTTCCTCCAGGCTGTGCCAGAGAATAACCCGGCTTGTCAAGGAAGCCAGCTCTGCACATTTGCCTTCTTGGTGATACTGATACTTGGCATCCGTCTGTGCTTTCTCCTTGAACTTAGTGTATGTAACTCTTCTGTTGCCTGCTCCCAGGTCTGCACTGTTATTGTTGGTACGTCTAACTACCCCACCTTCATTTTTGTAGCCTTTAGTAAACTCCCTTAAGGTAATCCTCACATTAGTATACTATCTCCCAAGATCCTGATAAATGATTCACTAATACTTAGTTGGAATTTGCCTAGGCCTGTTTTATTTTGGGGAGCTTAGGTATTGTTGGACAATAAGTAAGAATCAATTGTGTCATTATTACTTGATATTCGTTATTCAGAGAAAAATGTAGATGTTGAGGACAAAAGTGACACCCATCTCTTACAAGCCAAGTATTTTGCTAGCTACTGCTCAATGCACATCACTGCATCTACACTCAAAGCCCAGGTGTCCATTCGTGTCTCTCTGCTCAGACATGTCAGGTAGCCCAGAGCTGCACAGAGATATGCCAGTTTGGTACCCAGGTCTACACTCTTTTATGGATCCCAGGCTGCCTCCTAGCTTTATAAATGGATAATTTGGTCTTTCAGTTAAATCTATTTGTTTACTCATATTTCTTTAAGTTTTTAATTCCTGGGGGACAGTATCTCTTAATGATAAAATTAAAGGCTTTTAAGACAAATTTCTTAAAGACTTGATTAATTCAGCAAACATTTCCAGGTCAAATCCATTTTTGGTCTGATTTTAGTGATTTGTTCATTTGAAATCATCAATTAAGTAACTCACTATGGGCAATATCTCATGCTTGGTACCCTAAGGGTACTCATTACATACAAAATGAATAATTAAATATTTTCAATGAATTTCTCTCTGGTAATATGTCAGCTTCCCACAGCAGTTATCTAGATTTTTTTCTCTAGGTATGGACATTTAGTTCATAGTTAACACAATATCTATCCATTTTCCAAATGAAATGTATAACATTTTCATATTTTCTGTGTCCATACAAGATGCAAGCATCACATGCAATCACGAAGTTGACTCAGGTCCTGGAGGCATACGAACAAAGTATTTTTCTTTTATAGGTTAGTCCTCTATTCAAACCCTCCTCTGTTAAAAATAGTCACCACAAAACCCATACACAATCAAAGAAATGATTATTATTTTTCCCTAGAAACTCACATTGGATAATGTGTTTTTCTCTTGCCTTTAGGCAAACATTTTCTTCAAGCTAGAAAAGGCCTTTTCCTTTGGTAGCTCTGGCTCTCTATATCCAGGGGTATTCTTAGCCATAATAGTATCCATTCTCTCTTTCTATTTCCACCTTGCTGTTAAGGGACCTCTGGCCTCCCTAAAAATACCTCACTTTGATTTTTAAAACTCTAAAGAGAGTGACTCAGACATGGTTAAAACAAGTTTCTTCAGCCTTGAGACAATGCCACTGTGGGCTGCTAGAGAGCTTGGTGAAGGTGCTATTGGACTCTGGATTCCTCTGCTGAATAGCTTGCCCTGTGCTGTGTTTCCTATAATCTCTTATACTTTGAATTCATATTTGTAAAGCACATAACTGTTTTAGATTACTCACATTTTCAATGTATAATTCATAATATTTTATATCTTAGTATTTTCAAACTTTTTTGGAACCTACTCCTTCAGTCCTTAATTGTTCCCTAAGCTTCCTGCACATTATTTTCCCTAAAGAAGCTCAGATTATATCCAAAAAATGGAGCGACACACTGTTGCTACCATCACTCCACATCTACAATGCCAACTTACACTTTTAGTCAATGTTTTCGCCAAGCTTGTTGGCCTCAACCTCTTTCCTTTAGAGAAGGTCTCCAAAAGACACATCATCCCACATACAGCCCTATCCCACAAATAGGCAAGTCATGTCTAGATGTAGGTGAAAATTAGAAATGTACTATTTAATTTGTTCTTCCCTTAAAAAATGAAGTCTACTTTCCTGTGTGCAGGAAAGTGGAGGTTAGGTAACAAGGCAATTGGTGTTGTGAAAGTGACAGCCCTTCTGCAGCAGTCTCAGGAATAACAGTTACTGTTTAACTAGGAAGCTGCCCTCACCTTCTCACAAGCCTTCTTTTCAACCCCTTTGAACTGAAAGGCTAGAGAATTCACTTGACTGCTGCACAGCCACTGGGATGGCTTCACTGGCTTTTATGTAGATTTACTGGTAACACCAGAAAAAAAGGAAGCTGTGAAGCTGTGGTCACAGTCTTCCAGTAGTTGGTAATGTTCTCCCAGGAGTGGACAAGGCTATGTTTCTGGCCCCTCAGTGGTAAATTGAGGAGTCCCTAGTTTTCTCAGGAAGGATTGGCACATACCTTGATTCAGCTGCATCTTCGGTTCATATGAGACTCTTTAGGCTATGTCTACCACACCTATTTATTTCAAGCACTAAAAATGGAAGCTTAGATATTTAACAGAAAGCAGATGGCGCTGAGATCTGCAACTTGTATTTAACAAAGGCTGTTTTGGAACTGTTCCTCGTGTCCACTTTTATTGCTTTAAACACATCAACATCTACGCTGGTTCTGATGAATTATTTAGGGATCACTGTCCCAGGCCATGGCAGCGTTTAGAAGTGCACATGTTAATCATATACTTGATTAAACATTTCCTTGCCTTCTTCTCCAGCATTCCAGTTGCTTTTGAGTGGACAACTGTTGCAGCGAGAGTACCGACTGACGGTGGAAATAGCTTGTGGCATCTGAACTACTGAGAACTCCACCATGGAAAGGAATACTTGTGATTTACTTTCTCGGAGCAAAAGTGTAAGTACCTTTCATTTTCACTTTTTTGTAAAATGCGTACTTAAAGCTTTTAGTTTTCCCTGGTTTTTAATACTGTGTTGTCGTAATTAGGTTTGTGGGAAAACTTTGGTTAACTTTCAGTTCTCTGAATTTATTCAGATTGTTAACGAAGACTTCTTCATATGTGTGGCCTTGTTGACATTCAATGGTACTCCTTTGCAATTTATCTGCCTTCCCACTCATTTACAAAAACTTGATTGTGTGATGCTGAACACCCAGATGTTTGAGAACATAAAACAGATCTATAGTTAATATTGAAATAGGAGAAGTTTGTGTCTTGACTATTGATCTGTCTAGATATATCCGAAGGTAGAAATAGAAAATGTGCTAAAGGTCCTTATCAGCCAAACACATTCTGACACTCCATGCCTTCCTGAGCTCCTCACTCTGACATAGGTCTCTAATTGCCAATTTTAATCTTCCTTTTTAACATTTTAAGTTGCCCTTCTTAGTGCCCTGAGGAAATTTAAACATTCTTTCCAATTATACGGTGTCTGAGTTTTTTTTTGAGTTTTCTATTATCTTATAGGAAAACACACACACACACACACACACACACACACACACACACACACAGAGAGAGAGAGAGAGAGAGAGAGAGAGAGAGAGAGAGAGAGAGAGAAAATAAGTAGAGCGATTCAAGGAAAGCTGTACCAGGCAAGGATGAAAGCAGATTTAATTTCCATCAGGCAAGTTCTAACAATATGTCCCTTTGTTCATTTACCCAAGGGGAAGAAACATCCAAACAGATGTGGTTGTGACGTAGGAACATTCATTTAAAGGCATCAGAAAAACCACAAACGCAAACACATTTCTCTAGTATGGGAAGGCTTTGTGTTTCATCCTGTGATCTTACTGTGATGGCCCAAGGCCATCATTTCTTCTTCCTATAGAACTGAGGAAAGGACAATGCCTACAGCATTTCTTAATAAACAAATAAAAAAAATGAGGCTAAGCAGGGAAGTACGACAGGCATTTAATTGAATCCCAAGTTTAATCACCAGCCAAATAAAATTTAAAAAATTGGAATGTTCATGTTCATTTGTTTTAGTAGTTGGTGTTGGGATCTGTGGAATTTGTATAACATAAAAGGCCAGAGCATTGTGTCTGGAATTCTTTTTTATCATTGTGCATAGATGCTCATTATAATGGGGTGACCTGTATTCAAATTAGCAAACTAAGAACACATCTGTTCCTGCATTTTCTTATTATAAATCAAATATGAAAGCAAACCATCAATATGATACTTCCTTTTATTGAATGTTGGAAGCATGTGACTTGAAAAAAATAAAGGCAGAAAGGAGGTTGTTTTAGATAATTAAAACAACATTTAATACTTCTCTCTTCTTGGAGGGAAAATCCTTCCAAAGGTAAATGATTCAAAGGGGTGTGATTTTAAGGGAGGGAGGGTGTTTAATTTAGATGTTGGAAGATTTCCTGTTTGTATTTGTCATGTACAGATTTCTTTGTCTCTCTGGGAAGGCTAAAGCCCCAGATCAGGAGAGCTTGAGCTTCCTTCTTTCAGGTGGCAGCAGCCTCAGGTCTCCAGTTTCTTGCTTCCTTGCGTCTTCAGAGCCCACTGGTGCAGAGACAGCATTTCCACTTCCACTCAGTTGATCGACTCTGAGTAGGGGATGGCTCCTTCTCAGAGAAATGAGGCTGCTACTTTGTCAGCAAGAACTCACCACTTCAGGGTTTCAAACAGGGTCCCTACCGCTGAAGTCTTTGTCACCATAGAATCCCAAACTGCATACCCCGAAGTAGCTGTTTTTGTTTTGTTAGAGAAAGCTTAAATAATTTGATTTAGGAACTATCAGTTCCTGATTTTGGCCTTATGACATTTGGAAATCAAATAACCTAATGAGAAGGCTGTTTCCCGTGACTGTCCAGGTGTTGCTGTGGAGACCGTGCATCTGTCACTGTGAATTAAAGTGTATTGGTTATTTTTCACTTCTGTGACAAACTGAATAAAGCAACTTGTGAAAGAAAGGGCTTGTCTTGTCTCACAGTTCGAGTTCTAGCCCATAATGGCAAAGGAGGTGTGGTGGCAGGACGTGCATGGGGCTGTTTGGCCACAACGCATTGCTTGGCAGGAGCTGAATGTTGGTACCCAGATGGCTCCCTGCCCGCTTTGCTCTTTTCATGTAGCTGAGACCCAGTCCCTGTTGTAATGTTGTATATTTTCAGGGTAGGTTGTCCTTCTTCTGTTAAAGCTCTCTGGCTATCACTCTGTCCAACATATTCATAGATAACCTCCTAGGTGATTCAAGTTGACAGTGAAGACTGACCATTGCATAAGGCATATGAAGTAGAAATAGCCTTAGACATTCATTTCATTAGTGAGTCCCTTTCTGAAAAAGAGTACCAATGTAGCTTGCAATACTTCATTGGTCTCCATCTATACAAGGCATAAAGGCATAAAATGGGTAGTTTAACAGATTCCTGTGTTAACATCACTTCCAAGTTGCCATGAGTTTAGGTCTCATGCTCGTTTGTAAATTGAATTGAACAATTCCCTAAAAAAAGTATGTTAGTCAGAGTGGCTTATATCATTATAAAATACCACATTGATGGCTTAGATAGAAATTAATTTATTTTTTTCAAATATGTAGAGAGGCTAAGATGCCCAAGATCCAGGTGCCAGCCACTTTAGTTGTGGAAAGGGGTTGCCTGCCTCCTGGCTTGCTGATGTCCTGTAGATAGCTAGCTGCCTCCTCACTTTACCTCACACAACAGACAAAGCTCCCTAAAGTCCCTTTTCACTAGGTCATTCTTCCCAGCCTCTGCTCACACCATCACTTCCTATGAGATCCCACCTTCTCTTTGGGAATTAGGGATTTAACTTATGAGTTGGTGAGTAACAATTTTTTTTAGCCTGTAACAGAGTTTAATATTCTTAAGAACTGATTTTAATATATTATTAAATGCCATTATATGTCACCATGATCTATAAACCCAACATGATCAATGCTGTAGAATCAGCACATTCTCTCAATTGTTTAACACTAGAATGATCTATCTAATTTCTTTTTCACCAGTTGTTATTAGAGAACACCTCATAAAGGTTTTGTGTTTCCAAATAACCCTTCACAGACCTAGAAGCCTGTTTTAATTTTCTCCAAAACATTTTTCTCTTTGTCACTATTAATTCTGCTTATTATATATACCTTGTTTTTCTCCATTTTTTATTTGAATAAGAAAGATGATTATTTTACATGTCAATCCCAGTTCCCTCTTCCTACCCTCCTCCCCTGCTCCCCCCAACTAATACCCTACCTATCACAAACCCTTTCTGCTCCCCAGGGAGGGTGAGGCCTTCCATAGGGCCTCTTCAGAGTCTGTCACATCCTTTGGGATAGGGCCTAGGCCCACCCCAGTGTGTCTAGGCTCAGGGAGTATCTCTCTATGTGGAATGGGGTACCAAAGTCCATTCCTATTCTAGGGATAAGTACCTATCTACTACAAGGGGCCCCATAGATTTCTGAGGTCTCTTCACTGACAGCCACGTCCATGGTGTCTGGATCAGTCCCATGCTGGCTTCCCAACTATCAGTCTGGGGACCAAGAGCTCTCCCTTGTTCAGGTCAGCTGTTTCTGTGGGTTTCACCATCCAGGTCTGGACCCCTTTGCTCATCACTCCTTCTCTGCAACTGTATTCCAGTTCAGTTCAGTGTTTAGCTGTGGGTTTCTGCTTCTAATTCCACCAGCTGCTGGATGAAGGCTATAGGATGGCATATAAGTTAGTCATCGATCTCATTATCAGAGGAGGCATTTAAGGTAGCCTCTCCTCTGTTGCTTAGATTGTTAGTTGGGCTCATCTTTGTAGATCTATAGACATTTCCCTAGTGCCTGATTTCTCTTTAAACCTATGATGTCTCCCTCTGTTTTGGTATTTCTTATCTTGCTCTCTTCTATTCTTCCCTCAACTCAACCTTCCTGCTCCCTCATGTCCTCTTATACTCTGTTTTTTAACATCTATCCCAACATTACAGTGACCTGTCTCTGAAATGCCTTGCCCTGTCAGTGGATATATCAAATTGAAGGTGCCAGGGATTGGGGGGTGTTGGTGGTGGTAGGCAGAGGTGAGGGAAGAGAGGGGGGAGTGGAGGGCAGGAAGATGGAGAGAGTTAGACGAGTATGGAGGTGGGAGGAGCTGTGGAAGGCAGGATGAATATGATTGCAATACACTATATGTAGTTCTCTCTTTTTTGGGGGGGTTCAAGACAGGGTTTCTCTGTGTAGCCTTGGCTTTCCTAGAACTCACAATGTACATGAGGTTGGCCTGAAACTCACAGAGATCCATCTGCCTCTGCCTACAGGGTTCTGGGATTAAAGGTGTATGTCACCACAGCCTAGTTAGGTGCATGAAAGTAAGAGGAGTTTTATTTTCTGTACTTGTTCCCACAACTTTGAGAAATAATTATTTAAAAAATTAAAGCATTATTTCTTACAATGTTTTTTTGTTATCCTCTGAACTTATGATTTTTTAATATGGTGACTAAACTGGATGAATTTAAATTCTTCATTAATAAGTTCTCTCATGTATTGAATTCTAAAACATCTTGTTGGATTTTTATCTAACACTCCCAATTTTCAGTACCCTAAATCCATTGGAAGAGATTTGAGATGTCATCTGCTTAATTAGATTCCTTACTTTCTTGATGAAATTGCCCTCTGTCTGACTTGGGATTCTTTTGGATGTTTTACATTGGTACAAATGTGTCACTCACCAGATGTTTTTAATTGATGCTCCCTGTTCTCTTGGGTAGAATCATTGTTTAGTGTTTACTCAAAGCTGGAAGCAATTCCTGGCTATTTGCAGAACACTCAAATCTGCAAAGTTTTTCACATGCTCAACCAAAAGCCCACCTATGGAGGCTGTCAGTTTTGAATCCAGGAACTAAGTGTGATTTGTCAGTGGGTTCTCTAAAATTGCTTCTTTTTATGGATGATTTTAAAAAT